GTATTAAAATACGAATTGTGCTGTATTTATATGTTGTTGAATCTTGCTGATGCAGCAAGGTTGATCAGACTACATTAGGGGGTATTAAGGTAAATGTACGTTTTCTATTTATAGATTTGTAAAATTGGTTATGGATTATTTTATGTTATTTCAGGTTTGATCAGTTGTTACAGTTAGATTAAGTAAGTGTGATCTATTCCAAATTAGGTTTGGTTTCCAAGGGAACAATATATTTTTAGCGATTAGGTGTACAATTATGCATTTATTTAAGAATATCATATAGCACTATTGCTTCTTTGTTCAAGTTCAGTGTGGAGATTAAAAAAGTCATTTTTTCTGGTTTGCAAAAAAAAACAAAAAATGAAAATAGAATGGTTTAGATTTTGAATTAGCTTGTGAATTTTAATTTATAAAAGAGTGAAAAAAGTAGAAAGATATAGTGTTTGTTGGTATTTGGAATTGGCAATCTTCTGTAATATAAACACAAAACAAGAATATTTAATGAAATTATTGGCTTGAATTAGGGCTGCAATGATTCACTGATGAATCGATGAATTGCGATTTGTTTCCATATTATTGATCCATTGTGTTTGATAAAAGTAAGCGTGACAAATGACACTGAATCTTTGTGTGTTTAAGAAATAGTGTCAATTTTTATTTTACAAGTATTATTTCACATCAAAATTTGCAAAAATTCATTTCTGAGTTAAAAATTGTGATTTTATTACAATTCCTTATTTCTAGATATTTTCATGTGTTTCATAGTGACAAATTTGATAGTACTTTAACACATTTTTACTATTTTTTTTTCTTTCTGTAATAAATGAAATGTGATAATTATTGCAATAAATTGTATTGTTGAGTATCATATAGTGTATTGAATTGCAATTTCAAGAAACGTTGCAGCCTTAGTTTGAATTGAAATGGGTATTTTAAAAGAATACTTTTTTAATGTTGTGCTTTAATTTTTAGAAATATTTTTTGTAGGTAAAGAGACAGTGATTTGAAGTTTTTGTTCTTAATTGGTTGTGGTAAGTTTTTTCTGTTGTGATACTGATGATCTTTATTTCAATTAGTGTTTATATTGATTGGTGTTACTCATGTCTATCAGACTGTGGTTTGTTTTTGGTG